ATAAGACGCACCAAGATTTTGAAGATGCAAATTTTTTAAAAAAGTTTTTGCACTTTGTGGATCTTTCAAAAATGCCCCATTTTTTGTGAAAACGGGCTCGTGGTTTGTTTTTTTTTTTTTAAGGGCATGAATAGCCTTTAGGAGGCATTTAGAGTGCTCCTGGAGAGGAGTAAAAAAAAAGCAAAAAAACGGCCTATTTTTCACGAAAACGGGCCCGTTTTTTGTCAAAAAAGGGGCATGCATAGCCTTTAGGAGGCATTTAGAGTGCTCCTGGAGAGGAGTAAAAAAAAAGCAAAAAAACGGCCTATTTTTCACGAAAACGGGCCCGTTTTTTGTCAAAAAAGGGGCATGCATAGCCTTTAGGAGTGCTCCTGGGGGCTGGGTGGGCAAAATTGAGCAAAAAAACAGGCTGTTTTTCACTCTTTTCTGCCCTCCCCAGCACCCAGGAGCACTCTGAAAGCCTTCTAAAGGCTATGCACTGCCATTTTGGTGAAGGGGGCGGGGTTTCGGGAGGCAAAAATGCTGTATTCAATGTATAAGACACACCCAGATTTTCAGCCTCTTTGAGGGGGGAAAGGTGCGTCTTATACTCAAAAAAATATGGTAATTCTTTTTAGACAGTAGGTCATTTCATCATTGAAGGATTAACTTCTGATTGTAAGAAGTACATAAGAAATGCCTTTTTAATTCTAGTTGTAAATTGGTTTGTAGCAACTCAGCTTGTGAACCACAATCTGATACTACATTCCTATAAAATAAATGATTTGTTATAAACAAGTAAGAAGTATTGAGGAAATAGTTATTTGCTTATCGTATCTATATGATATGTATGTATATTTCTGTTTCAATTTCAGATTTCAAGTCCTAAAGCAAAATCATCATCTGGAGAATGGCTATTTGGGACTGATGACAACGCCGATGATGGTCTCTTTAGCAATTCTGCCACAAAGCCCTTGGTACTTATCATGTTGTGATTAATAGTTGAAAAAGCCTCAGATGTTGCTTTTTGTTTGGATTGCTTGAGATTGTTTAAACCAGATAATAGAGGTATGCAAATTATTCTAAATTCTGAGTGATCTAGGCTTCGAGCAAAACATTTTTGCCCTCATTTTTGCCTTTCAAAACCACCACTGCTGTTTGGCTATCACAACTTTTACTGTTCTACAGTTTACAATGAAAGATCTTCCTCAGAACAAACTAATGAACACATACTCAGGGATAATTGCCAGAAGCAACATATTACTTCGAAGAATCTTCTGAGATGGCCATAAGAATCTTTTTGCTACTTTTGACTTGCAACAGTATAGTTAGTATTTCCTTTTTGTTTAAAATATTTTGTTACTTCAGTGTAATTTACACACTCACACATACACACAAAAAATTGAGAGCAATAGTATAGAATATAAATAGTATTGCGTCAGGATCCGAGAGTCTGCATAAAGTTTCTTCGGAATCCAAACTTGCAACTTTAAATATGGCAAACAAAGTTATAGTTGGTTTACATAATATCAAAAGCTTCAGGCTGACTGGCTTTTTTTTTTTTTTACATTTTATAGTTCAACTTTATTTTAAAAGAAAAAACAAAAGCTGAGTGGTGGGATGAAGTTGTAGGTCTATCTCTATTTCCTTTTTTCTTAATTTGACATGCTTTTACCTCTAGCCATGTAAAAGATTAAGCTGATAGATATTTGAGATAAAGAGTATTGATCTTACCATGTTTATAATGTTTAGACTTGACAAATTCAGTATACTAAAACAAATTAAGTTGATTTTAAATTATTCCAAGATTTTTTGTAGTTATAAATTTTGTTTTAGAGCAAGATACATATTTCAGTTTTTAAATATTAATGACATTGGCAACTTGCAACTGCTTTCATAACTAACATATAGCACAAGCTTGCTTCTTTAATATGTTACTTTAATTTTATTCTTTGGAAGGTGCCAGAAAAGAAAACGATAATAAAGAAAGAGAGCCCTGTTTTGTCCTTGGAAAAAGATAGTAAAGTTCTGCAGAATAATCAACATGACAAACAAGGAGAATCAAAAATTCAAGCCCCCAAGGTTTGTAAAGTACAATTTTGAATTACAGGCTTGAATATATGAAAATTACATATCTTAACAAGGAAAGGCATTTGGATGTTCCATAACCATTAGTAAGTAGGGTATCTTCAGATAGAAACACACACATGCACACACACACGCGTACACAAATCACACCAGTTGTACTGTTCCCATGTTACAATGCAGATTGGAGTAGAAATGGTAAACCAATAGTAAGTTTAGACCAACTCCATTTGTTATACCTCCCTATATCTTTCTATCCTTGAAAATTTTCCTTACTTCAATTGCATTCCTGTCTCTTCATGGATTGTTTTTCTTTGCATTTCAAATATCTTTTTTGTGCTTCATTAATTCCATCACCATGATTACTTCTTCATCTTTTCTTTCCTCTTAATTCATTCATTTTTCTTTCATATAAATGTGGGGCTCACTCAGTTCTGTCAGGTGACCAAAATCATATCAGCACTGTAGATTCATATTGGTCACTTACGTTTTAATTTTCATTCACTCATCAGCTATTTTCTGTCTTAGTTGTTTCTTTCTTCCTTACTTACACAGTAAGAAGGTTCATCTTCATTCTTCTTCTTCTTGTGTCATATCCGTCATCAGACATTGCCGATCTTGTTGATGATCCTATTTTTATCAACAGCTGCACACACAAGTGCTGTTGAGTTTTGTCGAAACCAGTCCCTTAGATTTTGAAGCCATTATGTTCTTTTTCTGCCTGGACCTCATCTACCTTCAGTCTTTCCTTGGAGGATTAAGTGAAGCATGCCATATTTTCTGGGTGTCTCATTACATGTCCAAAATATTCTAACTTTCACTTTTTCTTCATTACACACTGTTTCTTCATTGCACACCTCTGAATTTGTTCTCACCCATCAATCCTTCTGGAAATGTAGTGCCTAGAAATATACAGGTGTAGCCTCACTAGTGCTGACTAAAGAGAAGTAAGCCTCTGGTATGATGCTTCTTATAGAGTCCAGAGCTGCATTAATTCTTATAGTTTCACTCTTCTGATTCATGTTCCGCTTCTTGTCAATGAAGCTTGTTCTTTTCAGGGACATTGGAGAATAAAATATATATTTGTATATCTAAGATTTCACTGAAGCTGACAAGGTAAAAGTTTCTGCAAGGAAAACGTAAATGCAGTACCAAGCAGTGTGCCAAATACAATATGGATAGCAATGATTATAGCAGGAAATAGCAAGAGCAATAGCAGTTAGACTTATATACCGCTTCATAGGGCTTTCAGCCCTCTCTAAGCGGTTTACAGAGTCAGCATATCGCCCCCAACAACAACCTGGATCCTCATTTCACCCACCTCGGAAGGATGGAAGGCTGAGTCAACCTTGAGCCGGTGAGATTAGAACCGCTGAACTGCAGATAACAGTCAGCTGAAGTGGCCTGCAGTACTGCACCCTAACCACTGCGCCACCTCGGCTCATCTCTGTACTGTGACATAAACCATTTCACAGCAGCAGCTGACAATAGCTCAATGTTTCTTTTTTCAAATCCCACTCAAATGAGATTTTTGCCCTGAGTTTATGTCTTTTAGGTACACTTTATCTTCCCTTTCTTCTTGACCTTTGACCCTCTCTCTCTCTCTCTCTCTTTCTCTTTGGGTTCCGGAGACTTCTCCATCCACTCTAAAAACAGTTTCTAGATAAAATTAAAAATTGTCCTGTCAAGAGTCAAAAGCACTGTGGCAAGTCATCCTTTTTCTGTATTTATTTACTGTTAAGATGATTTTGCATTACCACCTCCATTTTTCCAGATCCCTCTTGAATCTTTTCCCCAAATACGCATTTGTTTGATCTGCTGCCACAAATAATAAATTTGATTTTACTTTGTAAGGGAGAATTGGAAATTAACCCAAAAGATAAACTATACAAGAAAACGACTAATGTGAAACCACCATCAAAGGGACCATCTCGCTTACCTGATGACACAAAGCATACCAAAGTAGCTTCCACAAGAAATACTACACAGCTGGGAGTTAGTTTTGATAACCCTGTGAAAGCCAACACGCTGCAAAATGTCAACAAGGTAATTTGATAATGAAAAAATCTTTATAAAGATGATTATTTTAATGAACTACATAGGACTCGTTTTAGTTGCCAAATGGTATCAAAAGTATTTACTGATGCAGAAAAAAATGTAGTGAATGAAATAAACGTTATAAGCATTTTCTTTTCCACATGTTCACAGGGAAAGGGAAGAAGTATTATATTCAACTTTGTATGGTTAATTTAAATTGAACAGCGAGCAGAGCAGAAAGAATTATTAGGTTAAGCCAAGGGTCGGCAACCTTAAACACCACAAAGGTCCTAACCAGAAGCCCCGTGTTCAATTCTGCAGCCAACTGGAAGTCCAGTTCCCCCACCTTAGAGTCTCCTCCTAGTATAGCATTGTTTTTTCTCTGCCGACTGGAAGTCCAGTTCCCCCACCACCGTCTCCTCCTAGCACGGCATCCTTTTTTCTGTACGTGTCCTAGCTGAAAATCCTATCAATTGTGGAGCCGATGACAGGGAGCCACAGCAGAGGGATGAAAGAGCCACATGCGGCCCCAGAGCTACGGGTTGGTGACCCCTGGTTTAGGCTACTCACCTTCATAAAGCAATGCTTAAGAGAATTTTTGAAGACCTCTCTCATCTAAAGCCTCATGTAGACGGATTCTTTCCTTTCTTGTCTGAAGGGGAGGAATGCCAGTTTGAAAATAGCAGTGCTTCTTTTAGAAGTGTGGCATTGTCTGTTCTTACTCCTTGTCAATTTGTACTGTTTCTCACTTTGCATCCTTATAAACTCAAATTACAGGGAAGAATCAAAGTGAGTGGGAATCGAAGGCCACCCACCAGAACTGCCAGGCGATTAGCTGTTGAAGAACTTGACAAAGATGAAATAAATGCTGCAGAGAACAAGTGTCTTCCTATCTTAAAAGGAAACTCTGGGCCACCCACCCTATTACATCATAGCGAGCTGCCTAGAAAGAAAAATACTGAAAAAGCTTGCTTGGTTCCATCAACCCACAGCAGCAACCAACCCAATGAGTCAAAATCAACAGCCTATTCCGATGTGAATGATCTCTTCGAGTCCAACAACCTTTTCACTAAGGATAGTAACTCTAAACCAACACTGGAAGCTGAGGGCATTGTAAGCCAGGTTGCAAAAAGTGAGGAGCTGTTTCCTGCTGCACAAGAGGGGACAGACCTCTTTCCTTCTAGAAAGACATTAAGGAAATTAAGTCCAGTCCCTTTCCCGGAAGAAAAACAAGATGCATTCATCACTAGTAAGAAAACTGTGAAGAGAAAAGAACAGGAGCTCCCACCTCAATTACATCAAAGTTTCCCTATCCAAGACATTTTTGAGGTAATTTTGAAATTTTTTCTCTTCAGACTTGGATTCTTCTGACTTGGTATTGTGCTGTTTTTGTTTATTCCGCAGGCATTAGAGTGATGGGGAAAACAACTTGGGATGAATGCAGTTTGTTTAAATGGTAACCAAAAAGTGAATAAGGAAAGATGGGATAGATTTGGCATTTTTTAAATCATTCATTAGCAACCTCTCCAGTTGTGTTAAATCGTTTTAAAAGAAGCTCCAAACAGTGCCTGAAAGTGGGGACTGGAGACTAAAACATATGAAGAACGGTTGCAGGAACTGGCTATGTCTAGTTTAATGAAAATAAGGATTAGGGGAGACACGATAGCAGTCTTCCAATATCTCAGGGGTTGCCACAAAGAAGAGGGAATCAAGCTATTCTCCCAAGGCACCTGAGGGCAGAACAAGAAGCAATGGGTGGAAACTAATCAAGGAGAAGCAACTTAGAACTGAGGAGAAATTTCCTGACTGTTGGAATAATTAATCAGTAGAACAGCTTGTCTCCAGAAGTTATGAATGCCCCAACACTGGTCAAGCTTAAAAGTGGCAGGAATCATGTTTAGATGACCAAAAGGATTCCAAGCTAACAGTCAGATATACCTGTTATTCATTCATGAGAAATCAAGCCATTGATAACTAGAAGCCTCTTACGGACTTTATGCATAATTTTTTAAAAAAAATGAAATTATGACATGCTTTTGATGATTAAATAGGATAAATTATAAAAAGAAGCATAAGATGGTGTAACTTTCAAGAGGGAAGTTAAAATATATTTATACTTAGAACTGCTGTGAATAATATTGGGAGCCATTTCTCTATATCTTTTTCCTTTTTTATTTTCTTTCAGCTTGTTTTCATTTCTTAAACTTCTTGCTTTTTCTTTGATTTTGTTCTCTTCTCTTTCCTTACTTTATATTAGTTTGTGTTAATTTTGATATCAAACGATGTGCTTATGGGGTAAGGAATTTAAGGGATTAAATTCAATGAATTAAATGAATGAAATCATTTTATGGAACCATATTTGGCAGGCTGAAGATATGATATTCTTATTTACCACTCATATTCCTAAATACTTTTCAAGTTTCAAATTAGAATAGTTCATATTAAAATTTACAACCACATAGAACTAACTGCTTAGCGGAACTGATTTCTGAAGCTTAGATGCAGAAAATGAAAGCTACCTGTATTTTATTTTACAAGCACTAACCGGAGAAAATACCGTATTTTTCGGAGTATAAGACGCACCTTTTTTCCTCAAAAAAGAGGTTGAAAATCTGGGTGCGTCTTATACACTGAATACAACATTTGTTTTGCCTCCTGAAACCCTGCCTTCACCAAAATGGCCATGCATAGCTTGTAGGAAGCTTTCAGAGAGCTCCTGAAAGCTGGGGAGGGGGCTGGGGAGGACAAAAATGAGCAAATAATTTTTTGCTCAATTTTGTCCCCCCGCCCCCCAGTGCCCAGGAGAACTCTACAAGCTTCCTAATGCCCTTTTTTGACAAAAAACCGGGCCAGTTTTTGCTTGTTTTTGCCCCACCCCCACCCCCTGGAACTCTACAAGCCACTTAAAGGCAATTCATGCACTCTTTTTTTGGGGGGGGGGAATGGGCCCATTTTCATGCAAAAGGCCATTTTGGGAGGTTTGCAGTGCAAAAACTTTTTAAAAAAATTTGCTTCTTCAAAACCTTGGTGCGCCTAATACTCTGAAAAATACGGTATATGCTTTCAAAGATCATTTTCATACTGAGTAATTCTTTTCTTTATTCAAGGATGATATATTTGCAATAGAAACTGTTAAGCTGCCAGACAAAGCAAAAGAGGTAGAAGTCAATTTGTTTGATGATGATGTTGATATCTTTGCTGATCTTGCTGTAAAATCAAAGGAAAAGAGTACAAGAAAGAAAATGGAAGCTGTATCTATATTTGATGAGGACACAGGTAAAAAAAACACCTAATATTTGTAGAAAGATCTGCAATTCACTGACAAATGTATCTCTGTAGAAATAAGTTGAAAAAGAATTAGGTAATGATTTTGCAAATTAAAAAAAAAATACAAAACTACCTGTCACTAGACTAAGGGCACTCCCTTGGATTGGGAGGATTGGGGAATGTCAGAATATTTCATATATTTCTTCAGACACACAAAAGGATCATGACTAATCCTAGTCAAAAGGATCATGACTAATCCTTAGAAATATTGAGCCTCGATAGGAAGAGATTATCTTCCATGAAGGAAGAGTATGATATATGCAAAAAAGAGGTGGAAAAACACTTGTGCTTCACGAACTTAATGGGGCTTGCTCTCTTAATAGTATTGGTTCAAACTAAATTCCATAGTGTATCTTTGAAATTCATATTTTTGAAAATTCATATTCTATCCAGTGGGGAGTGTAATTATTGAGACTGTAGGAGTTTGTTTTAAGCATTTTCAGTTAATTTAAAAGCCAACCCTGACAAGAATGACTACATCTATGGCACGTTCTCTTTCTTAGTATAGCTAGCTTCTGATTTGGCATAGTAAAGGGTACACTTCTCAGAAAATACAATACTAAGACAAATACTAGATTTGATTTTAAATCAATATAGATAGTATGATACTCTTAACATATTTAATATTTGCATTTTTCTGTACATTAGAAATTAAAATTGGAGGCACTATTATAAGGGGCTCCACTCAAAGCTTTTGAGTCTCCTGCAACCCTGAGTCCTTTCAATTCAATCAACACTGGGATTTCCCTTTTCTGTTATTTCAGACCTACCATATGTTGTCAGCAATGCATTATTGATGTCTTTGCTAAGAATATGCTTAGGAGCCAGCAGACTTTTTATCAACATCCTTCTCTGTACTCCTGTTAATATAAATGTAATTCATCATTTTCTAAAAAAACCTGTCTGAAACAGTTCTGGTCATGAACAAGCACAGATTAACGGTTTTCTTCCTTTCTCTAGATGATATCTTCTCCCCTGCCAGTCAATCTAAGACATCAACAAAAAAGACCACCTCTCAGTCAGTCTCAGGAAGTAAGTGTGAACCTAGAACAGCAAGCACTTTTGACGACCCTCTCAATGCATTTAAAGAGCACTAATAAAGAGACTGCTGGACAATTTATCTTCAATTTGTCACTGAATGATAATTCCTTTATTTTCTAATCAAATACTTGGTGTGACAAAACAGAATATTCCTGGACTCATTCACTTGTGTATTTTACTCCACGTGGCATTTTAAAAAATGTTATAAAAGCTATTTGAGCAAACAATAATTGTCCTAATCAGCTTGTTACAGGTGATGTAATATATATATATATATATATATATATATATAT